ATGTGGGTCTGGGGGTCTGGGGGGCCTCAGAACAAAGCAGCAGCTGTTTCAGCTCTTCTCTCCACAAACTGCTGATCTGCTTTCAGAGACTTTGCTGACTCAGCTTCACCACAGACACAAAGACCAGGACCACCCGGATCCACGTGGTCTCTACATTCAGGTCCATCAGGTTCCTGCTGCAGTATGTTTAAAAACAAAGGTTCTGGTTTAGATCAGAACCAGAACCACAGAACTCTGAGCTTCAGGGTCCGACTCCTAAACGGATCAGAACCACTAGGAGTCCAGAGACCAGAACCTCAGTAAGACTCTTCTGCTCCCCAGAAACCCAGCAGATCCACAAACCTCTGGTTCCCTGGAGGAGGAGAGTCCAGAAAAACCTGGTCCTAAAACAGACCGGGACAGAACCAGGWCTAAAGGTTTCAGCTCCTCAGGACACAACAAACCTGGACTTTGTCTTCAGAGGGACAGAACCAGAACCAGAACCAGACATGTAAACCTGTGGATCAACGGTTAGAGCTGCAGTCTCACAGTGACGGACTCAGACATGTCCAGGTGTCTCTGTGATTCAACAGCTGAAATAACTGTAAAGTAGCTAAAAGCTAACTTCAGCTTGTGTTCAGGACTTCGGCTACAGTTTAATGTCTAATTGACCTGGTTCTGACCCAGAACTGGACCTTGGTTCAAAGGTTTCTGTCCAGCATGTCAGAGTCGGGTCAGAACCAGAGAAGGAGGAAGTCCACGGAGGGTCTCACCTGTGTACTCCACCTCTGCGTCTGCCAGGGCCTTCAGGGTGTTCTCAAAGGAGACCCCGTCCAGGTCCAGGGCCCCCACCTGGTCGTAGACCTCCTTGGTCCTGCTGATGAGCTCGTCTGACAGCTGCCGGATCCGTTCTGGACTCAGGTCCCAGTGGAGCCGGTTCTCTGCACAGACCGGCACCGAGCTGCCAAACACCACCGCACCTGTGGGGACAGGACAGGTGAGAGCGGGTCAAAGGTCACCGCTGAGGATGAGGACCTCAGGTTCACAGTGACAGGAAGTGTAAAATAAATACAGTTCCTCCAAAATAAAAGCAATTCTTTCACTTCCTGATTTAAGACATTTTTCTTTTTTCCTGTCTGTGGGGTTTTTGTCCTTTAAGGCCACCGTACATAAATAACTTATTTAAARTTTAATATCAAACACATTTAAAAGATAAAATAACATTTTTCCTGCTTAAACAAGAAAAACAACAGATGAAGAATTTCCTCTAAACATTACATCATCAGTTTATCTTAATTTATATTTAATAATCTTATCTTGGACCGGGCCTGTTCATTTATTTAATGTATTTTATTAAAGGTTTCCAGCAGATTTAAAGGGTTTAAAGTTTTAAAGGGTTTAAAGAGTTTAAAGGGTTAACACACTTTCATCGACCAGGCTGTTAGCTGCAGCTGTTAGCATCATGCTACAAACATCTGCAGCTAAAACAAATAAAAACTGTTTTTCTGTAAACATTTTAACCCGCTCTGACCCGCAGCTCGGTTCTTCATCAGTCCGCCCAGAACCGACGTGTCTCGGTCCAAACGGAGCACCAGGTGAGTTTSAGCCACCTGTCTCAGGTGTTAGCATGCTAAGCTAACCGCTAGCTCCAGCGCGAGGATCAGATTTCCCGCCGCTCTCTGCGCTCTTTTCACGGTCAAACCGGTTCCGTGGCGGGCCACACCGTCCCGGTACCACTCACCTGTCGGCCCCATGGTTCACTGAAGAGATGAAGTTCGGTTTGGGTTCGGTTCGAGTGGCTCACTGACAGGAAACTCCGCGCGGACCGGGATTAAAGAGGACGGCGTCATTTCCGGTCAGGCGTTTTCAAAACAAAAGACGCATAAATTATTATTATTA